ACCCCCATGTACATCATCTGAAGCATCCAAGAAGTGCAGAATTTCGAGCGTAATCAAATAATAAACTAAAACCCCTGGGTCAGCTAAAAGGCAGCACGTTTTCGGGGACTTTTCGGAGATTCCTGCGCACCACCTTTTCCGGCCACCCCTCCAAGCCAAACCTCCCCCATCTCCCCGCGCTCAACGGAGGCTACCCTGTATACCTTTTCGCTCCAGGCTATCTTGTTGACCCTGTAGGAGCCCCTGCTTTCGATCGGCTTTACCCTGATCCTAACCATTTCCCCGACCTTAATTTCCGGGCGGGTCACCTTGTGTTTGGCCCTGCGCTTGTGTTGTGCGCAGAGCAGTCTCGGCCCGGATGGTGCGCTCCGCGAAGTACGCGTGGCCCCTGGTTACCTGCTTCTCGATGTCCCAGAAATCCATCAGCTCCTTCTCTCTTGAACTCGGAGCCGTCGTCGGAGAACACGTTGGCCGGCGCCCCCAGGGCTTGGAACACCTTCTTCGTGCCCGCCGCGGTGGTGGTTGCAAGACGGTCCTTCAGCGGCTCCGCGGCCACTTTTTTGGTCAGCGCATCGAGCCACCAGCATGAAGGGGCAGGGCTTGCCCTTGAAGGCCTTCATGTCGGCCAGGTCCACCTGCAGCTGGTTCATGCTCCAGAGGCACAAAGCTGTTGCAGCCTTTCTGCGGCGGTCCGGTTCAGAGGCCGTCCAGAAACGCCTTCACTTCCTGTCTGAAGATGCTGGGGTCCCTAAGCCTGCTGCAGCGTCTGCGCTATGCTGCCGAAGCCGGTGCGGGGATCCTCGTAGACGGCCACAATGGTTCGTCTGCGGGAGCCATGTTTCTTATGAGTTCTTCGGCAGTGGTCGAGTGTGATCATCTTGGTGCCGTCGCTCCACCTGACGGTGCCCGTCAGGTTCCCTCAGGGCCTCCGCGGGATATCGCGCTCAGTAGTTTCGAAATAGCGCAGAGCCAGCTCGGTTGCGCTCGCTGAAGCCGGAGATGATCCTCCAAGCGCACTGATCCTCCTCGAGCGTTCAACAAGCGCCTCCTCGTCCTCCACCCGCTTCTCCAGGATTTCGATGCGAGTTCCTGTCTCGCGCGGCGCTCCTCCAGGTGTCTGATGCAAAGCTCCAGCCTCACGCCGTGCCTTGCCTTCCGCCGCAGCAGCAAGGATCTCGAGCCGACCACAGGTGCGGGCGCTCGGCCTCCTGCAGCGCATCCTCGCAAGGCCGCTTGCAGGAAGGCCGCTGCGCCGTCAGAGCAACTCCAAGGTCGGGGCCGTCTTCTCCAGAAGCCAGGCCTGGAAGGCCATCGAGAAAGTCATTGCTTTTTTTGAGTTTGGCCGGGTTTCTTCATGCGCGTGGGCGCGCTTTGAAGCCAACATTTTTGCTCGCTCATCCTCTTCACGGCCCTCACACCGCTCGACCGCAACAAGGCTAGCTCGCTCGCGATTGATGATGTTCCAACCAGCTCTGTCTGTTTCTGTTCCTCCTCGCCTTTTAACGCGATCCCCCACCAGCTCCAGCTGCCACAGGGAAGTCTGACGTAGCGCTTCTGTCTTCCGCATCTCCTCCTTAAGGAGTTTGATCCGACGCCGCTGGTGCAAGCGCTCGGCCTCAAGCAGCGTCCTCGCGAGGGCGCTGCGTAGCATGTCGCTGGGAGTCCGCGGCAAGGTTGGGGGCGTCGTCGCCCGCCCGCGTGGGCTTCTCCAGAAGCCAGGCCTGCGCGCGGCGGAAGGCCATCGAGGAGTCATCGCTTTTTTGAATGTGGGCAGCTGCGGCGGATTGAATAAACACATCAGCCAAGATCAAACAAATGAATCAGTCAAGATCAGGGCACCGCGGCAGCGTTGTGGGGGGCCCCAGAGGCGGGGGCCCCACAAGGAACTTCCATTATACAAGGTCGAAGGGCTCAGAGCGGTCAGCAGCCGCAGCTGCTCCAGGTTGCGCAAGTGTCCCAGCGGGCGCGAGCTGTGAGCAGATGTTGTCGTTGAAGGGTGACAGGGACTTCTTTTCGACGGTCTCCACGACCATCTGGTGCCCGCAGCGAGAGCGCTTCCACTTCGCCGAGCTCAAGACAAATTCGTACGGCGCCGCAGCAAGAGCGCGCCCGCACGAACGATCTTAGAGGGGTGCGTTTTGTAAGCTCCCGTGGAGCCAACCCAAAAAGAAGAAAAAAGAAGAAGAAGTAAGAGTCGAAAGGTGACGGTGCAAAAGGAAAGTTCGCTAGTGTTTTTAGGATAGTGAAGTCACAGCCCCAAAAGTTAGCTTGTGCTTTTAAGCTAATGAGATAACACCCGAAAAGTTGACATGCCATGAAGTAACTATTGAAAAGTTGGCATGAGAAGTTGGCAGGTGACATAACTCTTGAAAATTGAGGGGAGAGAGAGAGAGAGAGAGAGAGAGAGAGAGAGAGAGAGAGAGAGAGAGAGAGAGAGAGAGAGAGAGAGAGAGAGAGAGAGAGAGGAGTAGAGAGTAGAGAGGAGTAGAGAGTAGAGACGAGTAGAGAGTAGAGTAGAGAGTAGAGTAGAGAGTAGAGAGTAGAGAGTAGAGAGTAGAGAGTAGAGAGTAGAGAGTAGAGAGTAGAGAGTAGAAAGTAGAAAGTAGAGAGAGAGAGAGAGAGAAAGAGCGAGAGAGAGAGAGAAAGAGAGAAAGAGAGAAAGAGAGAAAGAGAGAAAGAGAGAAAGAGAGAAAGAGAGAAAGAGAAAGAGAGAAAGAGAGAAAGAGAGAAAGAGAAAGAGAAAGAGGAAGAAAAAGAAGAAGGAAAAGAAAAGAAAGAGAAAAAGATGAAGAGAAAGAGAAAAAGGAAAAGGAGAAAGAAGAGGAGAAATATAAAGAGAAAGAGAGGAGAAAGAGAAGAGACAGAGAAAAATACAGAGACAAAGAGAGGGAGAGAGAGAAAAGAAAGAGAAAGACAGAGAGACAGAAACAAATACATAAATAAATAAATGCATACATATATATATATATATATATTGCATTTGTCAGGCGAGGGCGAAGCGATTGCGCAGCGGCGCGCGCAGCTCAGTGTTGAATGCGCGGGCTTTCACGTTCGCCGCTTAGCGTTGCGCATGGATCACGCGGCAATGCTGCAACGCGATTGCTGCGTGCTAGAAATGGGTTGCTTAGATGCTTGTTTGGCGTGTGTAAGTGTAGGTTTAAGAATTTCAGTTGTCGAGTAGAGTAGTGCCTGGACACGTGGCGCGACGCGGTGTACACAGGCAACATCACACCTGTGTACGTGGCAGCATTTTTGCATCACCTTTGTCACACACGCTTTCGGGACAATCGGTGTCTAGTTTTTGTTCCCGGTTCACACCCTATTTACCACTTGCCCGGCGGAAGGCTCCTGCCAAACTCGCAATTCATAATAGATGTATGTATTTCATTGGTATATTAAATTTTTCATAGTAACAGTATTGACTATTTGTATACAATTTATTTATATATATATATTTATATACAGACACATATATATATATATATATATACATTTATATATGTATATGCAACTTATACCGTATGTATATATATATATATACATATGACATGTATACATATATAAACAATCCAATATTTAATATATGTATCACATGTACTATACATTCTATTTTATAGAATACTTGTGATATATGTATATATGGCACCCCCTACTTTCTAAAGAGAACATCCTTTTCCAGGATGTTGTTCTCCATTTCCAATGTGTAATTTGAGTCCTATAGTTAAAAATAGTTCTTAATAGGATATCCTTCTCAAAGCCACAAAACTAATTGGCCTTGTTGTTCCAAACTTATGAGGAGGATTTCCTTGCTCAGGGTGAGCTGATGCGGCTCGAGTCGCATGGGGCAATATGTAGATCCATTGGGAGGGGGGGGTAGGATATGTATATATATATATATGTAGATATAGATATATCATTGCGGATTTTATGATAAGCCAGCACCCAAAAGCAAGGCTCACCAGAGGTTCTTTCTGACTGCACCAGACTTCCTCGGAGAGAGTCATGCCAATTGCGCAGTTGCGCTCAACAGTTTTGGTGCCACATTGATCAGCTAGGCGCCCGGCCACTCTGCTGGTGCATTGGAGTCGAGTCGCTCGGAAAGGCGAAAGCGCTTCTGTGGCTTACACGTGGCTGCTTGGTGATTACACAAACTGCAAACGGTCGGAAACTGCTGAGCACAAAAACACAATGCAGAGGCTTTCAGTCTGCTCGATCATTGGGCTTGGGTTTGGCGTCGCTGGCTTGGAAGCATTTCCACGCCACGGAGAGACTTTTCATGGAATCTTCAGGGCAATGAAAGGCATTTGTGGATTTTCCTGAGGTGCAGAGGCTTTCCGAAAGATTCAGCCCTTTCTTCACACAAGGACGGCACTGTTTCGGCTCTCAGTTTTAAGACGGCACGGTAGATGCACGTCAAGGCGGGCCGGGAAAGTTCAGTCAAGATGGCACGAGGCAGGCCTCCTTGAGGTTTTCATGAGTGAAACGCGTGGTGCAAAGTGTCTGCTTGCTCGGGCTTGCTCGAGAGGCATGATGGCCGTGGAACGAAGAGGCAGCGACTGATGCTGGCAGCTGCATCGTACTTGCCACAAAGCAGTCGAGCTATGTGGACGTGATTTCCTGCATGGTGGATGAGGTAAAGATCAACTGTTTTTTCCCCTTCTGTAAAACCCCATGCAAGCCACAAAGGCAGGGAACTTTGAAAGTCCGCCGGGACCTGCCAATGATGCCGCGCCTCTTGTGCTCGAGTCGTGACTGGCGATTTTAGGCCAGGCTGCAGCTGGAGGACTTCGCGTTAGTTCATCAAACAGCAGCGGTAAGAGTTGTGTTTGTTGTTGGTTGCTGCGGACCAAGTAAAGGACAACTTAAGTGTGAAACAAACGTCGCCCACAGGGGCCTTGTCTCTACCAGCACCAGCGCTCAGCAAGCGAAGCAAGCCTTGGAGGGAGCAGTCCTCTTCTCGGCAAAGCCGTTGCCCAGCCGCGCCATAGGCACCATAGGCGATGGAGAGGCAGACCTTCGCGGAGCAGCTGCTGCTCGCTCCCGAGAGGCGAGACGAAGCGCCGTGGGTTTTTTTGTGCAGCTCCCGAGCCAACGCTTGGCGCCACCTGTTGGGGTGGGTTTGCTTTGGGGGGAACAAACCATGTGTCAGGAGCGTTAGGCACAATTGGTTGAAGCGCAAAAGCTGGCTTTGTGGGCTTCGCACACCAGTCCGGGACAAACACAGGACCCCTTTGATTTCAGGTTTAGAGGGGATCAGAACATGGGCGAATCCTTTGGGCATGCCATTTTTGTGCAAAGGTTGGCGGTTCAAGCGAAACGAGGCTTAACCAACTCTTAGAGGGTCCTGACGCAGGCATTGTCCCCCTCAACAATGGCTCCGTTTTCTTTTGTGTGCCCCACCATCCAACAAGGGGGTCCTGTACCAATTTTCAGGACCCTTGCACTCAGATTCCTGGCCAACATCTCTGTGGTATCTCTGTGGTATTTCCATCGTGTTGGAAGATCTGGTTGAAATGGGGCATCCTGATGTCGGCTTTGGTTTCAAAGCATCCTGCGGAGGTGCGAGGCAGAACTTGCCCGGGCCCGGCAGACATACCGGCCAGGCCTGGGCAGCTTCCAGTGGGAGGCCAGCCTCCCAGTTTTCGACTTTTCGGAGGCTCGGGAAATGGGTCAACCAGGGAACCGCAGGTTTTAGTCCATTCCATTTGCCAGGGTTCTAAATTGGGTACCCAGTTCTGACCCCCCAAATTCGCCCGTCCGCCTTTCGCCCAAAAGCCCCAGGAGCTGGGGGCCGCCTTCGAGGCCGGTGGCGAGCAGCTGCGGGTGCTGGGGGAGGCGGCATACGGTCGAATGCTTCGCATGCCATGACTTGGCGTGAACGTTGCTCGCTTTCCATCATGGGTGCCTGTTTCGCTTGGAGCTCTTGCGGGGAGTGTAAGGTTCCGGAGGTTCGGAGCTAGATGGTCGAGAGATTCGGAGAACCGCCCAAACGCAGATGCCATGCGCCAGTGAAAGAACCAAAGGAGTTTTCGAGGTTTGGGAAGCCCCGTTGATTCCGATGTGCCCCGTTGAGGTCCCTTAGAACCGCTGGTGTCCCTGGGATGAAACCCATCGGGTGATCTTCCCGTGCCAATGAGTTCTCCAGATTGCGAGCTTCAGGGATGGCATCCTTTTCGGGGAACCTTCGCGCATGTTTTGCTTACAGGCAGCCTAGGTTCCAAAAAACGGAAGGTGCGCCCATGCAAAGATGCTTCCCTGGATGCGGAGTTCATCGTCCACCTCGCCTTTCGGGGTTCCGTGCCGCGGAGTCAAAAGGTCGGTTTTTCGTGCTGTGACTTTGCAGAAGTTGGGCACTGGCAGTCGGCAGTGAAGTCATTGGTTCGATGTGCGCCTTTCCGTTAAAGCCCCGAAGTAGCTCAAGGTAGCAGTTTGATTGAGGGAATGCTTTGCCCAAAAAACGCAGCATCCACTCTGCAAGAGCCCGACAGAAGCCCAGCCAGAAGAGGCCGTGTGAAGCCAATTGAGACTCGGGGTGAATGGCGCAGGGGTTGTCCTGGGCGACGATTTGTTTGTTCTATACAAATCTTTCCAAATGTAGTGCCAGGGGGTAAGTGGCCGATCGGCGTTCCCATACAGGCCTCCGATCTCACCGCAAGAGCTGGTTGAGCTTTGTTTCCCTACAGCCAACAAGGGTTTTTACTTGAGTGAAACATCCATATTCTGATCATCTATACTTAAAGTCAAAGAGGTGCTACGGTCCAAAGGGCACTGTCGTTAGGGTGGTTTAACCGAGCTGTCAGCCCCAAGTCGGTGGGGGTAGCCTGACTCTGAAGTTTGGAACCAACTTCCGGAGAGGCGACCTTTCAGCCGTTTTTGTACCTGTCGTCTGCACAGAAACGGCTTCGCAAAGTGCATCACGAAGCGTCCTACATTGGTCGGGGGGAAGTTGCCCTTGGGACGCGTGCAAAGCTACCGCTTGGATGGGTAAATGGTTTCGACTTCGCACAACATCACAAGACACTTTTGTCTCGAAAGACTGTCGCGCCAACAAGTTTTGCTTCAGAAAACGGTGGTTTTCTCACCAAATCTCGGCAGCATCTCTTGGCCATGGCTTGATTCTCCGCAGCTCGAATCGCTCTTGTGTTTCGCCGGTCAACACCTGGATCAAACTGCTGTCGGCACAGTATACGTCAAAAAATTGGGAAACCCCCAACATGGCTACGGTTTCCCTCTTGGTTTCTCTTTGACTATGAAAAGGATGGGAAGCCCCCCAAATGGGGAAATGGTTTCCCTTCTCTTTGACGCTTGTTGGGGGTTCCTTTTTGGGGGCGTTTTCTCAGGTGAACCAGGAGAATCTGGCCACGAACCTGCAGGCGCAGCTGGTGCCGCTGAGTTTGGGCGCCTGCGAGGGCATGGTGCACCGGGGCTTCCAGGCCTTGGTGGGTGGGTGGGTGGGTGGGTGGGTGGGTGGGTGGGTGGGTGGGTGGGTGGGTGGGTTGGTTTGGCTAGGGTATTTTCGAAGCACCCTTTTTGGGGTCCCTTTCAACCACCTTGTTGGGGGTATTTTGACACCTGCCCATGTATGTTTTCTACGGGGCTTTGAACTGGAGGTTGAGTGCTGCAAGGGCTTCAGGCCAGATTTGGGTGATTAGGAGAAGTGTCAGGCTGCGCTGCTCTTTGAGGCGAGACGTTTGTGAGTGGTGGCTCTTGCTCATAAGCATTCTTGGCGGCTTGGCGGGTTCTGGCAACCTTGTGCTAGGCTCCTTTCGTTCAGGGCAGGGCTCTTGTTGGAATTTCCGTCCGGTGTCAACTCACCTCTGCCAATTCTATTCGGGAGTTTCCGCGGAATAACATGTCATTTCAAGGGGACCGAGGCCTTCCCTAAGGACGCAAGGAATTCCCCTCAATTGTCGCGACGTGGATTTGTGGTTTGCGGCCCCCCAGGCTTTGGCTTGTGATTGGCATTGGCCAACGTTCAACATGCTGTCTGGGGTTAACCCCGGTCTATGTAAAGAGCAATGCAACGCAGCGCGCGCGCGCGCGCGCACGCGCCTTGCGAGGATGCCTATTTAGCGCTGCGGCCGCGGCTGTTGGAGAGGAGGGGCAGGGCAGAGACTGTCCAGAGCGGAGCGGTCGAGATTGGTGTCGTTTGGGTTTTGGCTCTTACTGGTAATTAACAGCCACCTCCTTTACATTTTTTGCTTGAGGGGGGGGGGTCACCTTTTGGTGGGTCTTACAGGGACACTCATTCTGTGGTGGTTGGTGGACAAACAACATCCACTGTTGGTGGTTAAGGGGACAAATCTAAGGATGTACAACCCTGGTTTCAGGGCAAACGAGCAGAGTTGTGTTGGTATATGCTACCTGGTCGTTCTTGTGTATCCGGCCAACCGAACAATGCTTTTAAGACAACCCCAATGAATGGACGGGCATTGACTGACCTGGGCTCTCACCTTTGGCGGGAACGGCAGCTTCCCTTCCCACCGATGCCTCTGGCTTGCCTCCGAGATTCGTTGCAGAGAAAGCGTTCGCATTGCGAACCGCAGCTCGCGCCGCCGGCGCCGCACAGCAGGCTCCGCTGCGTGGGGCGCTCGGCCTTGGTGCGCGCCACGGGCCACAGCCTGGGCGGCGCGCTGGCGCCGTGCCGGGAACGGCCTCGAATTCACGGGGCCACCGCGACCGCGAGGTTTCCTAGAGTTCTGATCTATTCCGAGCCCCTCACAGCACGAGAGAGGGTGAAAAGGTTGAATCTTGCATAAGATGCACAGATGGGTAAAAAAGCAAGACAGCTTTTCTTTGAAGAACATGTGCTAGGGATTGTTCCTCGTGCCTGGATGGAGGACGCGGGCTTATGCAGTGTGCTCGCCACTAGGACATATGAGCGGTGGTTGAAGATGTTAAGCGTTTGTTGTGGGACAGGTTGCAACTTTGGGACTCCTGCAGTGTTTCGGGTTCGGCTGCAATGGGTCCTCACGGCAACCCGGCGCTGGAAGCCTAGGCAATGCTCGCGTGCCGGGCCCTTAGAAGATCACGGGAGTGTTTCTGGGGATGTCACCAAATGGCGGCGCAAACAACACGTACGTAAGAAATGTGTTCCAGGTGGGTCCCCCCCAAAAAAAATGGATGGTTTCCCTTCAGTTTCTCAGTGAAACCAACTAAAGCAGGCAGATTTGTATTGATGATCTCAGCTTGAGGGCCCAAGTGTTTTGGCTGAATTGACCGAGAGTTCAGGTTGAGCCGTGTCGTGAGCAATATTTGCTTAAGAGCCTCGAAGCTTGCGAGCACGAAGTTCGAACTTGAATTTGGCTGGAAGTTTGGAGGTTTACAGCATGCATATTGCTGCAACTTCTGAAGGGCACTACTTGCAACTTGAACTAACTCAGCGTGAAATAGGTTTAGTATTGTGTTTTGAGAGAGGTAAACGGCTTGCCTTGATCGCTTGCTTTGCGAGCTCAGCGTGCTGCAGAAGTTCTCACAATGTGCAATTCTAGACTCTTTTCTGGTGTAAAAGTGTTAACAGGAATAGAACATGTAAGGACAATTGGTAGGTTATTTTCTTTGATATCGGCTTCATTTTGTGTAGTCTTTGTATAGATATTCTATTGTGAGAGGGTTCAGATACTGCCTTCATTTATGTGATACATCAGGCTTATGACACATGTGATCCATTGTTAACATATGATTTATCGGCTTAAGGAGGATGCGTAGAAATTTATCCAGTAGTAGTGCATGGCTGCCCCCAGCCAATGTTTTGTGATACCTGCTTCAAAGCAAGAATAGGCCAAGCCGTCTGTGCAAGTAACAAGCAGTACCAATGTTAATTCTGTTCGTTGAGATGGGTATCCACTTGTGTAGTTGTAACAATGAGCTGTCTTCATGAATAGTCCCAATCCAAGCTGCCATATTAGATAGAGATAGATCAAGTCATTATGCACTTTTTCAGAGATATTCTGATCTTACTACACAAGTGCTCGAGCGGTCCCTTCAAGAAAAATCACTC